CATTACTGAAGACATTATTTTACCATATATGCTAATACTGTCATTATATTTTTGCTTTTATATTATGGCTTCTCTAATAACATAGATTTGCTAGCTCTTCAAAATGTTTCAAAGTTTCTCAAAGTTAATGGAAATTAAGAAAATGGAAATTACAAATTTCTAATGGCAAGAACAGCCTTATCTTTTCTAAAGTAAATACTTACCAATCCAAGAAGTAGAAAGAAAAAAAATGCATAACAATATTTGGGGAGCTGGAGGGGTATTATACTGAGATAAGAAAGATGATGAAAGGACTGGAGCATACATCATATGAGATGAAGCTGGGACTGCTCAGCTTGGAGAAGGCTTCAGGGGAATCTATATTATTACTGCACATAAATAGCTGATGGGAAGATGTAAAGTAGGAGCCCAAATCTTTTTAGTGGTGCCCAGCAACAGGAGGCAACAGGCACAAACTGAACTCCAGGAAATTCCATCTGAATAAGAAAGTTTCTTCCATTCTGAGTGTGGTCAAGCACTGGGAACACTCCACAACGCACAACAAATACACAGGGGTACACTGAGAGGTCATCGAGGAAGCTGCTTGCCCAGGAAAAAAGGGTTGGGTTAACTACTGCATTTATATTGAACTGCTTTGCTGTAGATGGTCAGGATCACTTCTGAAAGGATCTCTGAAGAAAAAAAAGAGGCTTCAAAGTAACAGCAGTTCTTCATATGGCACAAGAGAAGAGGCCAGAAGCTCAAATCACACATTAATATTAAATTTGGCTCAACATTTTCTCCCTCTCTTCATCCTCCCAAAAGACAAGATTCTATAAAAGTAAGAGGAAAAAACAGAAATTTATCAAATACTAAAGAACTCTATTTCATAAAGAACCAAAAGTGTTCATTCAGTTCATTCAGGATTTCAGGCACTGGAGCTAAATGCACCATTGGAGAAAGCAAGTCTAACCCCCAGGTTCCATCCCACCCCCTGCTCAAGCAGGGGAAAAGGTGAAAAAAAAAAAAAAGAGTGGGGAAATACAAGATTTTAACAGAGAAAGTCACTGGGGCAGAGGCTTCCCAGCCTTGCTCTGCAACCTCCGTGCTGCCGGGCTGCGACGCCGACAGCGCCACGTACGAGCACGGACCTGGGGAGGAGGAAATCGAGTTCTTGACCCATCGCCTAATGAGGCTGGAGATCCCTGGCATTATCACCAAAGCCGCTTTCATTTCGCATTCTTCCACGGAGGCTGCGTGGTGTCTGCTGACACCAGCTAGCAACGCACGAGATCTCATTACGATCGTATATGATTAAAAGTTAAGTGCAGCATCTTTTGCTAACTGCAAACTAGCTATTCACACTCACCCGACACTCTCACTGAGCCTAATGGGCATTTGCATGTTTCTGTAAATAGAACTAATTAATAGCTAGTCATTTAACTTGGCAAATGCAACATTAAATTTGAATATGGGTCAGCAGCAGTAAAAACAGTCTCACCTTACTCAACATACATCATCTAAATATAAACACAGCTATTCGAACAGGCAATATGAGACGTAAAACAGCCTGTAGCAATAAGGCTGCAATCCTGTAATGTCACAAGCTGACTTACATATGACATCCCTCACATGCTTAACAAGACTTTGTCACTGCAACGCAACACAGCCATCTTGCCAGATACCTGCCCTGGGCTGCTTATCTACTATAATACAGGAAATGTGAATACTACTTCTTAACTAAAATCAAAAGCTCACCGGTTTTGAAAGAAACATCAAGCATTTAAATTGCTGTTCCCATCTCTGAGCATCTGCAGAGATGCTCACTAACTTGTAATGAAAATATTATAAATTCATATTTCAGTCATGTCTTTTCATTTGTGCAGCAGTACCAGAATCATGTTACCTAAGATTTCAATAAGCTTATTTCCCAGTTAAATATATACTTGTTATTTGAGCGTTACTGACAAGCGGCACCTCCCCAAATTAACACCTCAATATCCCACTGTGCAAGCATCTCATCTCTGCCTCCATAAGCAAACAAAAATTGCTTAGAAACATAAGAGACTGCCATGCACGGTATTTGAATAATGCCTGTGTGTGCTTTCCGTTATATTACCTCATTCATATACGGCTGAAGACTCATAGAAACTCAATTGCCCTTTTCCCAGAGGCCATATCCCTAGGAGCATACTGGCTTCAGCCATTATTAAAATAGATTCTAAATATATGCTTCTATACGGTAACAGTGCCATACAGTTTTTTTCTTTCTAGTTGGTCTTGTAGGATAAGGAAGTAATATGGAAAGTTGGAGCTGAATTAGCATGTCTAACTTGAAAAAAGTCACCCATATGCTCAGTCTTTGATTGCATTTTTTTGCATTCACACTTTGGCTTACTTCCATTCTTCGTGAATTAAAACTCTCTTTCAGTCTCAGAACTGAGCATTGCAAGTTAAAGTGACCAAGTAAAAAGAATAAATAAATGGGTACCAACAAGAAAAAATATCCCTAACAAGCCAATCTATTCTACTTATCAAAAGGTTGTCTAAGGAGACACTTTAATATTAAAGATGTACACCCAGCCAAAACGTGCAAGACCTCTCCAGACTCCGCTCTGAGCCGGTATTTGCCAGCACAGGCTCACGCCTCCCCTCCCCTCTTCCTCGCTGCCGCAGCTCAAACTCTCTGCTTGGTGAGGGGCAGCTCTCCAGATACCCCTGCCTGCTCTACACACTGAAGAGCAACACACAAAATTCGCTTTTTTTTTCCGAGCTGCTTCTTGAGACTTCAGATTATAAGTATAGGTCTACTACCCCAGAGGCTGTTCCAAACGAAGGAGGGAGCAGCCTCAGAGAGCTGGCCCTGGCTCCATGGGCAGCCCTGCTCCAGCCACCGCAGAGTGGAGAGAAGGGACGCATCTCCCCAGCCACCTCCTGCTCCCGCGCCCCGTTTCCTTTCTCTGCACCAGCTCTTTTAAATCACACTGGCACCTCCATCCACAGGCATCTCGCTACCAAAAATCGTTTTACCAGGTGATTTTCATCCACTACCAAGTGTCAAATGCAATTACAAAGTGAAAGAGAGGGAGGAAGCAGAGGTGAAACGCTAAGATTAATCCAAATTCTCTCCCCAAAACCTGAGAATACTTTAGCGTTCCTTCAATTTGGAAATCTCCATCTTTTCATTTCTATCTTTTGTATGACATTTAGAAACAACCTCTCTTTCTTCAAGTAAATCTTTAAGACAATTCTGTATTTAATGTCAAAACTATGATTTTATTAACATGCTATTTCCACCTACCTCCTTCTACACACATACACCCCAAGTCATCACTTTGCAGCACAGAGCAAAGGTCACAAAACATGGCCTGGCAACAAAGATAACTGTGCAAAGAGAGACTGTCCTTCAGTAGACATCTATTTTTAAGTGATGACGTTGAGGAAGTGATGAAGTCCAGCAGAAAGGCACCAGAACCGCACGCTACTGCGTTCGCTGAACAGCAGTGACTGAGGGAGGGACATCTAAACAGCATTGAATCCTGGCCTCCCTGAGCAAGTTCTGGAGGCTCCGACTCATGTGTGCGCTCTTGGCTACTCTCCTTTATGCTCTTTAAATGAACACAGTGCTGAGCATCTTTTCATCAGACCACGCCTCCAGCTTTTTCTAGTCAATATAAAGCATAAGATATCACCACTAACAAGTGGCTTTTTCAAGCTTCTGTTGTCAGAAGCACAAAGAAAAACTTCTCCTGTTCCTTGGAGAAGGAAAAACTTCTCCTGCTTCTTGCTGAAGCATTTTTTTTTGCTCACCATTACCAACTGCCCATTAGCCACTTGGTTGGATAAAATGCAGCAGCTCCCCTGTCATCACGTTAACAACTTTGATCCTTTTCCCTCGGAGACACGAAAGACTCCTCAACAGCTGTGCGGGTACAGAGGTCTTGATGATGCACAACTTAATGCAATGTTACAGGCTCTCTAAGAGCTATAGGAAGTGGAAAAGATTTCCAAGGCATTTTGTTCGCATTTTTCTCAGAGTTTTCAGTTTTAATCTTTCTTGCTGGATTTACATGGTTTTGAATCCTTTGAGTGACTTCTTATCAGTCAAAATTATTTTTCACTTATACTAGTGTAGACATGCTGTTCTCACCACTGAGACCTAAAAGCACCCTTTTACAACATACATGTATACACTTGGTCATATAATAAAAAATGTTCAGGTTCCCTTAATGAATGCTCATTTAAGTGCCATGTAACAACTGTAGAAGAATCAACACAGCCACAGAAGCACCCAGCTCAAGCTGCCACCCGCCTTACAGCATGAAAATCTCTTGAGCAAGAAGGGAAGCATTTGGTCCCAACCTAAATAAGGTAAAACTTTCCATACATTTTTTCTAAGACACAGCAATCATAATAACTACAAGCCTCTGAAGAAACCCAGGCCATAAAAACTAACACTTTCCTCAGAGCACTGACCCAGCTCACAGCCCATTAATGAGCTTTCTAAACTGAAGTGGCACTGCCATCTTAAGACACAAGGCCAGCATTACAATTTTCACTGTACCAGACCATTCAGAAAAACAAACACAATGAAAATCTTAAATGTGACAGATTAAAAAAAAAAAAACAGTAGTATGAAGCCAAAAATAAAACCCCACAAGAAAAGCATTACTTTAAGAAACTTAATTACAGTGTTAAATAAAGCAGCAATTTAAGTTTAGTTTGAGCATGTTAACATTTGGTAAATGGTGCAGTAAAAGGAGGTTCTTCAGTTCTGCTTTGGGCTTCCTAAATACACATACTACAAAATTTTATTAGATGGCAACAGGATTAAAATGCAAGTACTAATAGAGGTTAAGAGTCTTGCCAACCTACCACAAACTGTGAATAATTTTAAGGAGCCAAGCCATCCTCTTGTTTTTTTCCACAAATTCACTATTCTGGCACTTTTTTAAAAAAAAAAAAAACTTCAGGTAAACAACTTTTAAAAAATTACCTATTATTGGAAAGCGCAATCTTACCCTTAGTAGAATATGCTTCAGCAATCATTCTTAGTCTGTAGGGTGGCACTGCAGCTAGTTGCAAGTCATCTACTCCAACTCTGGCATAGGTGTTTAGAGCTTCTTTGTAGTCACCTTCCACATAGTTCAATTTGGCCATAATGAGGTTAGCTTCTTGTAAGAATTCTGGCTAGAAGGAAGAGGAGATAGAAAGATAAGGAGAAAACTAAAAAAGCTTTTTTTTTTTTTCCCCTCCCTCCTATAACTGTCAATGCTTTGATTTCCTTTCTTTGGATATTCCCTATTTAATCCCACTACATCCCTTATTATTACAGAACAATAAACCAATAAAATTCTATGTAATGCTTAGGAAGCTTGGGGTGGAGGGGAATCCACAAATGAGACTTTATAAAATTACTGTTCAGTAGTGTCATTCTCACTCATGCATCTAACTATACATGCAGCAGATTTGCTAGGTAACAAGCTACTTAAAGGCTAGGAATCATTACAGCCCCTGCAGTGATTTTTCCCAAAACCATAAGCACAGATCACAATAGAGTGCCCCACAGCCTATATATTTAATTTGCACAGTTCCAAAGCACCAGGGCAGAGGAATGTCTGGAAGATTAGTGGGTGATAAGAGTAATAGCTGCACAGATCGCAGGAAGTCCAACACAAGAAGTTAGAACAGTAAAACAAGGTTCTTATTATCTCTCAAAAGAAACAGATATGGATACAGACAAGGTAAAATGATGGTTTAAATGATGTAATAGTCTACAACAAGGATTAAAAAAGCAGAACTAGAATAGTTAAGAACATCAAAAAAAAAAGAGAAGACAAAACCCCTCAAGTATTCACCTTTTTTTTGCCAACTCTAACTTAAAGAAACCTTTCCTGATTAGTTATGAGACACTTTCAGAAATTTGAGGAATACTTTGCATTTACAATACATTTTTCATGCAACTACATCTTCCTTTGTCATGTATTATACACACCAAGTAAAACTGCCATAAACATGCTCAAAGTATTTCAGCACCCCTGTAGTCAGTAACATACCTTTTTTTTTTCTTCTAGTGGAAAAAAAAAATCAAGAAATGTATCTGAATAAATTTAATAACCGCATCTGAATTTATCTTCATAATTTAACCTTCATAAATCCACAAAGAAACAAAAATCCATGAAACAACACACCGCTGGTGTTCGGACAGTAATAACCTTCTGAACTCTTCCATAATTAGTAAACTACCCTAGTTAGTTTTACCTTTTCTTATCCTGGCCTAAACTTACTAACATACCTTTAGGTTTCCTCTGTCAAGTGCTGCAGTAAGATGTTTCCTGACTTCAGTCAGCTTTGGCCGGGGGCCCCGGGGGCTACTGCTCTGTTTAAGAGCATTTTCCTTCAAAAATTGTTCTAGTTTGGACTCCCCAAGAAGAAGTTCTGCCATGTCATCTGTAAAATAAAACCAAACACATGAAATATCAGAAAACATCTCATTTCACTAACATGTCAACATAGGCATGATTGATCTGCATTTTAAATATAAAATGATCAATACAAACACAGAGTCAATTATTCAGATTGTCCTACTTTTCAATTTATAATTTGCTGTTTATCATTTATCATTGCAGAAGAAAGTCTCCCATGTTCTGAGCTAGTCACCAGGAATCTCTCTCGATGATGGTGACATTTCAAAGAGGAGAGCACCTTACAACAACACTGGCCAAATCCTTCAGCATCTCACACACACCCCGGCTGGGCCCAGTGCAGTCGCGTGTGCTGCTCACTGTGCCTACCTCAGCCTTTCCCTAGTCAGGGCAACGCTTCACTCCACCAAACTGCCACTGCTCAGGAGCCTCGGAGGCCTGAGAACGGGCAAAGAGGTCCCAAGAACATCGCATTATCCCTTGCCGCTTGTTCTCCAAACCCCATGTTTTCCCTACCCTTCCTTTTGCCAGCATTCCACCTCCTTCATTCCTGGGATTTTTATAGCCTTTTACATCTCTCACAAGCTTAACCCCAGCTCAGCTTTGACTTTTCTAACTCAAGCCCGTTAATGCCCAGGCAGTGCCCATCAGATGGCACACACTAACCCACCCCATGTGTGTAAGCTCTGCAAGATCGCTGCCCTGTAACTGCACACAGGTTTCCCATTTGTCCAATATCTACAAAAAATACTCCCATGACTCATGCGCTACGTATGCCAGCATGCAGCAATTTTCCATCAATATCAACAGCTTTTCTGCAAGCACTGATACAATATACTAAAAATCACAAATGGTGCAGACAGTTGTCCCTTTCTACAATAAGCCAATTTTTCCAAGAGAAGCAGTATGGTAACATAAGATTCTTTAAAAAAGAAATCTATTTATTTGGCTACGGTTTGTTTTCTGCAGCTTTACTTTTCCTTCAAACAGAATTCTTAATATAATTAATAAAAATCAACAACCTGTCTAGATTCAGTTTCTACCTGCAAATTAGAAAAAATGTATTAAGGAACAAATTTTAACCCTAGTACTTCATAACAAATCCCTTTCGGACAGTCTTATTCTGAATTCCACATTTCTATATTTGCTGCATTATTATTCACAGATAGGGGAGCATTGTCACCAGAGTTACCGTGTTCAAAGATGCTTCAGCAAACCCCTCTATAGGGTTGGTACTTCCTCTCCATGTTCCATCTCCCTGGAAATCAGATTAAAAACTGCATACACAGATAAGATAGGTGGCCTTGCCTAACAGGACAATCCAGGTAGTCTCGTTTTCATATCATGGTAGATGTAAGGCAAGTTTCAGGCATTGTGTGAAAGTGTCTTAGAGATTAGCGGCCAGCTACAAACTTAAAAAGCTGTGTTTCAGAACATGTTCACGAGATTCATTTATTTGCCTTGTAAAGAATAGGTCACCAGGGGGGTCCTTTCAGCACAGACATTTTAATAACAACATTCACAATACTCCAGGGAGAAAAATCCTCGTCCATGATTTCTGTTTATGAGTCTCCTGACACTGTAGAAAAAGGCGAGGAAAAAATAAGAGTAGGCATTAAAAATAATACTTGAATTTCAGCACAGTAATGTTCTCCTTGGGAGAGGAACAATGAAGATGAATTTTGTTAATTATAAAGTGAAGTAGTGACTTAAAGTGAACAGACATTGTAAGCCATTTTTAAGGAATGTGCAAGTAGACACTTCAACTCTGATCTATATCTATCCAAAACAGAATATTTCATTTAACAAATACTCCTCTTTGCTTTTATTCAGTTTAACACTACGTTGAACAAATTTCATTTCCAAAGAATACCAAGGAACCGTAAATGTCAAGGACAGTAAAGAATCCTAGTGACATGACAAGAAAAAGAAAAATGAAATGCAAAAATAGTATTTAAAATGAAAACAGTAGTGTCTATGACTGATATTCGTTAACACTTCAGAAAGGCAGAAGTTTGTTGTCTAGTAGTAAATTCATTTTCCAAAATTCTTCCCCTCTGCTTTTCCCCCCAAATGAAGAAGAAATATCACAAAACTGCTGAATCTCGAGTGGAAGAATGACTTGCAGCCTGGAAGATAATGAGCTACCACCACGGTATGTTCATAGCCAGAAGTCCCACAAATAAGAACCAACTTCCCACACTTTTCTCCCTGCAGAACTGAAACGCACAATATGGTTTGAGCATCTACTAGTTTCAGCCTTACTGGTATTCAACCAGTTGAACAAGGAGCTGAACTAGACACACACAAAGTGGAAGGCAATTGCAGCCTTTATGACCACTAATCAAAGGGCACTGCTATCAGCGATTACTGACGTCCAATACTACAGGTTTCCCAGACTACTTATGCATATGCTTATAGCTTAAACTAATTATTTCCACAGCACCACTACTAGAGAAATTTATTTTATGAAGACACACATCAGAAAGAACAAAAGACACAAATACTATTTAAAAATATTTTATAAATCTCTATTTGCACAATATCTCATCTTCACATGTAAAACACTAAGATCGTCAGAAACATATACAGTCAAAATAAGCAACCACATAGCATCATCCAAATTATGCTAAATATACACTTGAATTAAACTTGTCTCATTCAGTTACACACGAGTTTAGAAAAAAACAACTAAGAATTCTTTTCAGTCTTCCTTCCTTCCATGGCTGGTCTCAAAGGACCAGTTTTCCTGTCACTACTGACCATAAAAGAGCCTTCAGCCAATTCCAGCAGAGGCAGGGCCAAGCCATGTCATGGGGACAGTGGCGTGGGAGCTTGGCCTAGCAAAGAGCTGCACTGCAGCACTTGAAGGTAGCAAATTTGACAGATGATGACACCAGAATCCAAATCCTGCTCTCTGAAGTCAGGTTGGGGAGGGGGAAGAAGTGGGGGCATGAAGATTAACCAAAGAACAAAAAAAGAGACTGGAGAGATGCTGACGCTGTGCGAGTTCTCATACGTACTTCTTATACTTCCTTTCCCTTCATCCTCATCATCGAAAAGTCTCAGTGCTCACCTTCACGCTCTAGACTCCTCTCAGTATTAATGAATCATCGATTCATTCTTAGGCCAGAACCACGATTGTTTTTGTCTGGGACTGACTGAAAGCCCAAACTGAGGACTTAGTCTCATTTAAGGTAAAAGAGTCCACAACTAAATGATAGAAAGAAAAACAGAAGTGTGGCTGGAAGATCAGCCCAGACAAACCTGCACTTGAAGTAAGGCACACTTGAAAAATAGGCACTAACTTGTTCATGTAATTAGCTGCAGAAGGGACAGGAAAGGGCATGGAAATTGTTGATGCTTTTGTATTTCCACCTCCCAACTCTTCACAGCTGAAGACACTGCTCTGACAAGGTGGTAGCTCCAGCTCACACAGCTGAGGAAAATACAGCAACAACTCACAGGTCCAGATTGGAGCAAAACACAACATTTCAAGCTGCTTAACTGAAAAGGCAGTAGTGGAACAGCAGCTTTTGCCAAATCCTCTCCCGCACGAGTCCTTTTTTCCTCCTTTCGTTCAATGCAAGTTCAAGATTGCAGCCCTACGTCTATCATCAGTGATAACTCAACTTAGCTATGTGCCAGGGCAGAGCTTGCCCTCCTGCTCTTTCCCAGAGGATACAGGCACACAGCTCAAAGTCCTTTCCCCGCTTTCCCATGTTTTACATATTACCAAAACTTCAGCTGTAGAGAAGCTGTGCTAAAGCTAGAGGTTCTGTTAGACACTGTCACAATGCCTTCTCCAAAGAATGCCAACAGTGGTGCAAACTTTATGATAGAGCTTGCTTACGGCAAACTGCTTTTTTTCTTCTAAAAATTTTAGAGATGTCTTATGTGGCAGCTCCACAAGGTCTGTGGAGGCACTGACTGTACCCTGCTAGATTTATAGCTCCATCTCCAGAAGTCAGCCTAGGCTACAGACTGAGCAAAGAATCAGGAGGAAAGGAAAAAGAACAGCTTGTATCCCTGTAAAGCTGTGCTAAAACATGGAAAAGGAGCAAGCTTGTTCTTGAAAGGGTGCCTGCAGAAACCACATTAAAAAAATACCTTTCATGCACTCCCTTTCCCTGAAGCCAGTGCAGGCTCACACTAAAGGATTTCTATTTACAGACACCTTCATCCAGAGCTAAGCAGCGGGATGGGAAACTGCAGCAACGTGGGCAGTGTCGTCTCCTGGAGCACCAGAGTAACTCCTCATCACCGCTACCTGCAGCTGCGCAGTCTGCACGTTACCCCACCATCCTGCCACTCAACTGCTTCAAACCTATTTCTGGTCTCCAGTCCTACCCTTTCAGATCAGGCTATATCATGTTCTGTGCAGACAGAATTGCAGAGAATTTAACCAACAAACCCTAAAATCCAATCTACAAGATACACCTGGGGGTAAAGAGCCCATATTTGTCATTTTTAAAAACATTCTCCCCCTTTTTTATGCAAATGCAACTCAAGCAAAAGCACTACATGCAATCCTGAGTTTATGCTAATGAAGAGTGCAGTCAACACATTAATAGTTGTGAAAAGGGTAATTTTTAAAATAATTTCATGTTTGATACATGGAAGAATCCTTATAAGTCAATATAAGTAGCTATAAGCTCTGAGCACCCAGAAGTCCTGATTTCATTCTGCTCAGCCCGATCACATGGCCCTACATAGGGTGTGAGACAGAGCAAAGTCACCAAGAAAGGGACATCCCTCTCTCCTAACCCCCACCACTGCCACCCAATGGCTGGTGCTCCCACTCTTCCCCTTCCCTCAGCTGTTCCTGACATTCCTCAGAGCCTTGAGAGAGACCAACTCACCCAGAAAACCAGCAGAAACCAACCCAGAAAGAGGAAAGTCAGTTTTCTGCTAGGCCAATGCGTTGTCACCCCTGATGTCATCAGCACAAGGGAGAGGGCAGGAACATAGAGGCAGGAGGGAAGGAGCACCTCGAGCCTAGGTAGGAAGAAAGACTTGCAAAAT